GAAGTTTAAGGCACCAGTTACAAGCCTTAAAAAAACCCCGACAGCAAAAATGCAGTGTGTGGATTGTGCTGTAAGTATTTAAGAGTGGAAGAAGGATATATGCGGCTTATAAGATCATGTCTCAGACTGCGAAGTAATTCTCATGTGGTGTAGCTTATTATCTCTTCAGTTCAGTAAGTGTATAGTGACTTTAGTAATGGCGTCTTTTTAATTAAAAACTTCTAAGAAGCTCTTAGATCTGAAGTTTGGTAAATTCCCTTCAATTCAGTGGAAGTGCTCCAAATGTATGTCAGTGAGAGAGAATTTGTTTTATCTAGGAGGTTATTGCATGTAATGATCCTTGACCAACAACCCCAATAAACACCTATTTTTTCCATAGATACAAGATAGCAGGAGCAGTTTCTCCAAGAATATGTCTCAAGTGCAGTCTAAAGTTTCCGGACGGAGAGAATAAATCAATCTATATGGTCAGTTTGATCCCTCACCTCTTAATGAAATGCCAGGTTTGAGAGTTTTAATTGAACATTGTTCTGTAAGGAAACAGGCTGAGGCTAACAGGTCACTGCATAAAAGCCATTACAGAGAAATGTCTCGTGATACTGCCAACCGGAGTCCCAGCTCCATCATGAATAGGCAGTCAGATTTAGGTGTTCTCTCATCTTTCAAGGAAAATAGACTACTGATGTCTTTCAGCTTTTTATTATATGGGCCACTGCATTTTTGCCACTATCTATCTCAGAAAGGGACATCAAGGAACTTTTCAGATTCTTTCTAGGAAGAAAAATTGGAAACTCTGGTTTTGGCTGTTGGTTAAATATAGCTTGCAAAAAAAATCATCCCATTTTTTCCATGTGTCCCAAGTCACTTGGTTAATTAATGTTTGTTTTCAGTTGGATGAACTAAGTCAAACTTTGATGAATGCTGGCACAAAACAAATTATTAAATAGAAAACTACAGTAAAACATTATTATATTGTAAATCGAAAAAAAAGATGAGTGATGCCAGAGAGCAATTCACCATACACAAACATAACAATTTTTTATTGTTCTGCTTAGTGGTAGACCTTCCCTTTTAGCTATGTGCATATAAATAATTTAAAAGCAAAATTGTAAATCTGTGTAGTGATAAATAAGGTTACGATATCAAATGAATATTCAAAATATAAATGAAATGTTTTCTTGTAAGGGTCTGTAGTTTGTGAGTAACTGTGTACTCCTGATTTAAAGTCTTTGGATAGAAACTGCCTGTTCTCAAATCTGGGTCAGTCGCGTGTCCAGATACTTAGTGGTCAAGACCACATGCTGTTTGTTTACATCTACAAATGTAGCAATTTATTCAGTAAAAGTCAAGACTTCCACTACTGCAGTAAAAGCTGAATTGAGGACACTAAGTCCAGCTTGTTTATAAACAATACTACCTATAATGAAAAGGGTTCAGGTTAACTAAACAGGGAGAATTTATTGGAAATGGTATTTCCAGTCTGCTTATGTTCAGAGGGAGGAGAATTCTGAAGTCTGTGTATCTGCTTCTACTGCCTGAAGTCTTAGAGCAGAGTAATGCTGAATCAGTATGAAAAAAAGCAGCTTGTAGTTGGTGTTCAGTAAGAATAATTGCTTTCAAAGAATTTTTTAAAAATATGTTTTATTTAACTGCTGAGATTCTGTTAACAGACTCTGAACTCACATTCTGCTGTCAAATTAAGATGGAGAATGTAGGTTAAAAACAATGGCAATTTCTACAGGAGAAGACAAAAAATTTGAACTGTTGCATTAATTCGCAGTTCTGCATTGAGATTGAAACTAAAACCAGTACATAAAGGTAAAACTGGTGTAGGAATTATTTTGGTAAGCAGGCACACAGCTACAGCATGGAGTTGTGACTAATACTGCTTTCCATTCAAAACAGAAACAATCCTAACCCGGTGTCCTTCGCAGCCCTTCAGTATGATGGTTGTAAGAGCACTTGAGCTACAAGAGCCTGTTTCTCCAGGTTGAGTTCCTCAGCATTTCCAGGGGGGATTCCCCCCCCTTACAAAGTGTAGCGTTCTTTTTGAGTAACTGGCAGCATCTCCTCAAATTCGAGTCCTCTTTATTGAAAGAACAAGCTCAGCCCTGGCAGGGAAAAACGGGTTCTCACTGCCCTCAGCTTTGAGCATAATAAATAAATACCCAAGGCCTGATCTGCACTGCAGTGGTGGGCAGGTGTGGAATTGGCACAAATTCCACACCTGTGAGCTGCGTGCAGCTGCCAGGCTGTCCTTGCCATCCCTGGGTACAGGGGATGGCAATAGCACATGGGGACTATCCTGGGCTGGCGTTCTTGCAGGTTTGCCAGGTCCCAGAAGTGAGAAGAGCCATCTGACAGCTTGGAAATGGGGATGCGCTGACTGGAAGTATGGGTCTGTTGTGCCAGTGACTGCAATTTGTGAATAAGCAGTCAGTCTTCAGATAACACATAGCATGTCAGGCTCAGAGACAGACAGAAAATGGGGGTTTACCTTCAGCCTTCACAGCCAGCAAGCTGTTTTCTCTCGCTGGTGCAGACAGATTTGTTGTTAGGGCTTTATCCTTGCTAAAACTGTAGGATATAATGTATTTGTGAATTGACTGTCTATTTTTAAAGGAACGGCGGGACCTGCTGGAGGAGGGAGGTCCCTGAGGCTGGAAAATGGCTGTCACAGCCCTCTTTCTTTGCTCCCAGGCTGGCGTGGAGGCTGGGAAGTCTGGCAGGATTGGCATCAGCACAGGCAGGGCTCCCGCTGCCCTCACCCTCTCAGCGCACAAAGGTTGCTTATCCTGCCTGCAGGTCTCCAGGGGCAGACCCTCCTTGCACCTCAGCTCTGCAGGGCTGGTTTCTGGGGTAGGGAAGGCAAGTCTGAGCTTGTGAGCTCTTGCGTTGCTGCCTCAGAGCAGCAAGGATGTTTGGGGCTGGTGACTGTCTGTCCCATGTGCTGGCCAGGAACCTGAGCTTTAGCAGCTGTTGTGCACTTTCCTGCACACACTTCTACTGTCTTTTGGCAAGGATTTAACGAGTTACTCCTTTAGTTACCCGAGTTAATTGTGTGTGTTAGTGATTTTTCAGCTTTAAAAAGAAAAATCCTGAATTCATCTTAATGGCTTGCTGTTGCTATGTAGGCAGTCCTTAGCCATGTGTTTGTGCATGCAAGGATTTAATTAAAACCTTAATAACTAAATAATCTCCACACAGTCTAGGTGTCTATGAGATAGCACTATGGAGACATTTCTTGAGTTCCTCACTTGCACACCACATTACTATGAACTATTTTTTTATATTGGATAATAATACTCTAGCTTTGCTGGTGAGGTCTATATAGGTTACGAGGCAGCCTGAACAGTGAGCCCAAGAGCAGTGGTTTACTCAGGAACTGTTCGAGGTATTTCCTTTGATCATGCCACAGCTGAGAGAGACTCACATCTCCTAGAGACCAAGACTAAAGTATTCACATTAGGGTGCCTGAAGTGAGTTTCCTAAATAGAAGTGGCCTGATTCTTTTTTCAGAGATACTGAACATGAAAAACTTTTTTTTTTTTTAAAGCTTTCACGCTTTGCAAAGTGGCTCTGCCAGTCACTTTTCTGGGTGGCTGTCAGTATTTTGGGCATTGATTACTCCTGTATGTAGGGTGTTCAGCACTGATGAAGCCTTTCCCCAGGTGTCTCTGTGCACTCCAGCTGCAGGGCAAGGCTCCAGCTGGGCTCTTGCTTTTGTATTCACCCCTGTGGAAATGCCCCACAGCCATATGAGGCATCTGTCACATGTGTGCAGCCCTGTATTGTCATGATGCAGTGTTGGTGACAACTGCACATGCTAGTGAATGTCATGGCTTTGGAAAGGGGTCACCTATTGGCGCTTGGGACCCAAAGAGCTGCTGCTGTGGACCAGCCCAGCCTTGTTTGCATGGGCTCAGCAGGGGCTTGGGGAGTGAAAGGCAGTGGTCTCTTGTCCTGCAGCAATGAAGGCTGCACCAGGACAGCAGAACTTCTCCATAAGAAGGGGCTGTTCTCACCCTTGCCCGGCAGCAGAGCAGTGACCCATTTCAGAGATGGAGTCGATGCACCTCGGCCCCATGGCTCAGCCCTCCCACATGAGGGAGAGGGGCCGGACCATGGTGGCACACAGTAAATTCCTCTCTTTTTGGCACAGGTAACTAGAAAATTAAAAAACTGAACAAGTATCTTAGTGTCTAAGTGGATATGAGGCAGGGACAGCCTTGTTAGCTGCGGTATGGACATGGATACCATTTCTTACTGTGAGCAAAGGCGTTGGTGTCTGCCCCTGCCCCCCCTGCCCCTGTCCTCTATCTGCAGCCATAAGGTCACAGGCACCTGCTTTCCCACGATGGCATGTACATAACTACCCCTGCAGCCCTATATCATGCCACATAAGCTTACCTCATAGGAGCGGGAGCGGTCTTGCCCTCCCTGGGTTTGGATGAAATGACTGTAACAGAAGTGTTCCACATCTGACCTCTGTTTTTCTATAGCTCCTGTGCACATTTTAAATTTAAAATTCTGCTCTTTCCTATAAAAGGTAAAGAAGATGTCAAGGTCTTGCTGTTCCCATTCCAAATGAAATGGGTTCATGTCCTGTTAATCAAGGAGTACAGCCACAGCATTTGTCATTTCCCTTTAAAGTAATGGGTGGTGGATACCTGTCATTTCTCAAGAAACTATATACCAGATTAAGGTGTATTTATAGAAATCTCAATTGCTGGTAACTTGGCTGAAGCCAAGTTTAGGCATACCATTAGTAATGCGTAATGAAATGACCTAAGTGGAGTTAGATTTGTGAGGGGGAAGAGAAGGGTATTTGAGTTGGATAGCTTGAGGATGCTGTTTTACTATTAAAATTAAGCTTCTGACCCCTGGCTCTGAAGTGATAAAAATAAATCTTCCTATATTTCTCTTCTGCATTTAATCTTCTATATTGGAAAAGATAAAGAATAAAATCTCCTTCTCTCCCTTGTCTCTTTCTTTTCTAGGTACAGGACCTATTTATGCTACAGACCCACTCCTATATATGTCCCTGTTAATACTGCATAAGCTTATACATTTATTAGTAAACCACTGACGGACTACTTCTTCCGCTCCTCCTCAGCCAAACAGAAAAGAACCTATTTAAAAACAGAACAAACCCCTGACAAAAAAATACCTACACTTTTAAAGATGGACAGAAAGAGACTGAAAGAAGCATGATAAATTCTACATGGGGGGAAGAACATATTTTTGGGGATGCCACAGAAAGTAAACCACATAGAATAATGCATCTAGTTTCCAGACTATGGTGTCAAGCCCTGCTCTGTGCATGGCACTTATGATTTCTTTATTTTAATGTAATATTTTTTCTTTTCTAAACCTTTCCTCTGACTCTTCATTTTGCACGAACTGTTGAGCAGTTATCTTTATGACAATATGTAAAGATGTTGGGTCAAAGCCCTTCCTAAGAAAGGAAATATTTTTAGTAGATTATTGTGTTTAGGTTTTTTGGATTTCCTTTTTCTTTTTTTTTTTAATTAAATTATTTCTTTTGGAGACATTTTAATTAAAAAAGTAGATCTTACCATAATTAATATTCACTGTCAATAATATTTATTTTTAAAGGAAGATTGGAAACAAGATAAGACATTTGTTTATAAACTGTATTGTATATTGCTGAATAACAGTTGAATAAAAAGATTTTGAAATAAAGTTTTTGCAGATGCGTGTGCCTTTCCCTGTGTCCTGAAGCTCTCTGAGAAGGCTTCACGGCTGTGTCTGTTCCCTACCTTGTCACAGCACAGAGAATTGAGGAAAGGTGCATCACAAACAAAATAAAATTTAAATCAGTTATTTATTACACACCCCCATGTCTTGCCAAACCCCACAGCGGAATGTGCTGACAGCTAGTCACAAGCTATAGCTGCATTTTCCTGTGGCAACACCAGTTATCTTGGGGCAGTTAATGGACAGTGTGACAGCGTGGAGCATTTAAGGTAAGTTGCTTTGGTTTTCCCCAGGCCCCTTTGAAAAAAAGATGAATCAGCACTGGAAAATGAAAATAAAAATAAATCAACCTGGAATATTGTATTCCCTAGACCTGGTTCCAACATTTGTTCAAAAAAAATACTCAGATTTTTGAAATTACATAATTGTGTCACTTGTCTTACCAAGTGAGCTTTCCTCTAATGAAGCAAAAGGCTTTTTTACAGTAAATACAGCAGTTATTTTTCTGTCCTAGAAATGCTTGGTTTTTAAGTGAGGTAATAGGATGACTTGGTAAAGAAACATGACCTTCTTTAGCTTAATTTAGCAAAGTACTTTGAAATTTTCAATGTCTGACTGTGATTCTTATCCTTTCATTTGCATAGCATTTTAGAAAAGACCTTAATTGTGGAAATGGTAAAGTGACAGCTACAGCACCAGCAGGACTCTGTCGGCAGCAGCTGTGGAGCAAAAGCAGGACGTGCCATTGCCTCACCTCGTACCCGAGTCCTCTTCTAGAAGGAGGGTAGGAAGGGATTTTCAATTTCTTAGATGGTCAGAATTTGCTTTTTCTAGGACTGCCAGTAATAGTGAGGGATTTATGCCACTCATGTCTCACCAGGTGTGAGACTGAAATACATCTGTGTTTCATACGTACTACTACATTGTGATGATAAAAACCCTCTTGTACTGGGGCAAACTTACCATGGGGATCCAAAGGTGATAAAATCTTTGTAAGAATGTTCATTCCCTTAATGCCAGCTCTAGTGTCCCGTGGGTTGGGGAATAATCCATAATCATCCCACAAAAAGCAGAACCGCTGTTTGGAACAACTTGGGGGAGGTGGTTGCTGTAAGCCTGGAAGTGCATCAGAGCATGAGACACTGAAGAGCACAGTCCTTGGCTTCCACATGCACATGGGAAGGTGAGTCTTTTATAACCTGAAAGGAAAAGACAGGTGGAAAAAAAGATTTAAATGTCAGACCACGCCTAAATTAATACCGGCATTCATGTCTATGAACTTGTTCAAGGACAATTATCCGATGCAGAGGTACGTGTGGAGTCTGTAATGTCACAAGAGCTCTAATCCTTCAAGTAATGGCTGGTCACAAAAGTGAAACCTGCCTGGGTTTGAACTGTGGGTCCTCTGGCAAGCTCATCATCACTGCTGCTTCTTCTCAACGGCAGTGAATATTTCTCGGTCACTCATCTTCCTTCTGAGGAAGAGAAACAAAACAATTCTTTTCACAACAGGAAGAAAAAAATCTGCCTAAATTTATGCAAATAAATAGCTGACGCTTGAAGCATGTCTATCTAGGAGTACTTAAGCTTCTATTTTAACTTCAGTCATATCTCAGCATGGTCTCTTAGTAAGCATATACAACTGCTTTGCTCTGATACTTCTGTTTCTTCACTTACAGAGTACATTATGTCTTGAATTGCATACTGTGTGATTTGCAGAAAACATGGGAGGAAATATATCATCTTCCATTTGTCCTTCCTTTTGTATTGTAGCCTGTTACCTGCACAGGGATGTGGCAGCAACTGGAATTTTTGTGTGCAGTGGCAGTAGAATTATCAAGGTCTTTTAGACTTTAATCACATTAAAGGTGAAAAAAATATTAAATCTGCAACTAAAAATAACTTTTTTTATCCTTCCTGAGATCAGAATGAAGTGTGCCACAGTAGGAATAACAATTCTTATATTCCAATTCACTATAAAACCTCAGAACTACTAAACAATAACCTGAGGATCTGATGAAAAATCTATTCTAACAAGAGCAGTAGGCATTTTTTTCTTTCTGGTGAAGACCTGCCCGCATGCAGAGATAACTTATTCCCAGCACTCAGGGTAACTTCAACAAGGGAGCAGATTGCCAAGATAACCTGGCTGTACCTTTACCTTTGCTATTTTTCTGCCTTCAAAAACGTGCAGAATGAGTCCACCAGGTTTTGGGGCCTTGGTTTGCACATTTGGGCCAGCTTTTTTGCTAAATACACAGCCTGTGTTTGGCCCCGTATTCGTGTAGTACAGGGGAAATAACTGGCTAAAGAGGAGGCTGCAGCTTTCAGTACAGTATTTAGTCTTTAAAAAGCACTTAGGGGAATGAGAAACATTTTGATGGAAAAACAAAGAATTTGGAGCCTTATTGCTTGTGAGTGTGTTAAGGACTTTTGCTAAAACATCTGTCCTTTGAGAGTGCTCTTTCTTCTGAAAAGGGCAACTGCCTCACTTCTGCTGATTGTATTTACAAAGGGCAAAGTGAGGTTTTGCTGTACCCGTAATGGACAGAGGCTAGTGGCAAATCTTGCTCTTTCATAAATCTCAGCATTCCTTGTGGCGTCTGCTGTCAGAATCAATTAGGAATAAGTGCTTGGACTGCAGAGCCGTGGAAAGGCGGCGTGTCTCCTGCAGTGCCATGTAGGAAGTCCTCCAGCGCCAGTGGTGGGGTGGGTGCGTCTCTGGGCACCTGGGGAGACAGCCCCTGGTCCCTGCACTGGGGGACAGCGCAGTCAGTGGCTTCTTGCAAAGCCAGCAAGCAGCCGAGCTGGGAAGCACGAGTCATGACTGTTAGGGGCCAGAGCTGAGTCATCTATAATATAATCATAAGGAAACACACATTTTTCCTGAGAGAAAATCAATAGAACTTTGCACTTTTCCGTGTAATATTTCCAGTCTGCGCCATCAGCCATAGTTTGCTCACAGTTATACTGCTATAAATTCACCACGAGTTAATAGATTTCTACAAAAATGAATGGATTTACAACAGTGTAACAGAGCTTATGCTAGAGCCATGCACAGGTAAAAATACATGGAACAAAAGTAGTTTTTATAGCACACAGGTGACCTTCAAAGTGCCAAGACCTAGCAAGTAAAAAGCAAAATTACCTAGTTCCTGGTATGCTCCTTTCCTGGCAAAACTCCCAAGGAAAATAAAGCGTGCAGTCCTGCAAAACATTGCTGTGCGTGGCAAGAGGGCCAGAGACCCACCAAAGGGAAGACAGGCGAGCGAGCAGCTTCATGCTGTGATGGAGAATGCAAAAGACTGTCTGAACATGTAATTTTTCATTTCCTGCATAAAACATTTTGGAGCCTAGCCTCACTTAGAATTAGTAAGTAAATAATGTGCTCCCAAATTTGTGCGTCAAAGCTAGGTTGGTTAATGTATGAGCTGCTTCTGTTGCATTTGTTACTACACAGTAAATTTCATGCTTAGCCAGAGGCTGGCAAAGTTCATTTATTCATTATCCCCAAACTTTGGGCAGTTATTATTCAAACTCCCCTAGTACATCTATTTAATAAGAAAAGAACAGAAAATTGATGGGATCAAAAATGTTAAAGTCTTAATTAATGCTTTTAGCAAAGACTGATTGGGGGGTCAGGGGGGTGTTGTGAGAATATTAATTTGTAGTGAGCAAGCGTGCTGCCCGGTTTTGCTGGGAGCAAAGAGGGCTCTCCCAGCCCTGCCAAGGGAGCTTGGTCCCCGCAGCCCGGTGAGCTACTGCCTGCGGTGACACCACCTGCATCGCCCCAGGGGCTTTCTGCTACCAGGTAAGGGAAAACCAGTGCTACAAGCTGTGAGAGAGTGCTAAAATACCAGCCTATGCAAATTATTGATTAATAGAGCGTTTAGATGATAAAACATTCACTTACGGCAGAGAAAAGATGGGATTTTTTTTTTCTGCTTCACTCTTGCAGGTTCTTGTGGTCTTTTTGTCCCCCGGCAGCCTTGTAGTACTGGAGATCACCGAGCTGCGATGCAGGGGGCTGCTGGGCATTTGAGGGCTTCGCCCTCCAGCGAGATGCCCAGAGGCAGAGCCGAGGGCTGTGTGCATATGTGGGACAGGTTTGGTTCTGTTCACACAGGAGCAGTTACAGTTATTCCATATGAAAACGAACAGGCCCTAAAAGAAAGGAAACGAGACAAAGGCTGGAAGAAACCCAGCAAGGCAGGAGGGGGGCCATGAGGGACTCCTGCGTTACCCTGTCCTGCCCCAGAGCAGCAGCAAGCAGCACCTGTTCTCTGGCCCAGCCATGTGGTTTGACAGGGGATGGGGAGGAGGAAAGGAGGAGGTTTTGTTGTTTCTAGACCATGTTTCTAAAACCCA